AGGGTTGAGAAGGAGCTTGAACCTGGCCCAGGGATCCCTGCTGGGAATGACCTACCCAACCTCATCCTCCTGGGATAGAGGAATGTCTAGCCGGAATGATGGTGAGCCCAGCCAGAGGTTCCAAAATGCATACCCCTCCTGGCATTAGTGTAGAATCCTAGATCAAGGGGCGGCAGGAGGGCCACATCCAACCAGCAGCCTGTTTTTGTACAGCCCAAGAGCTAACAATGGTTTTTACATTTTTACAAGGTTGAGAAAAAAAGAACAATGAGTGACAGAGGCCATATGTGGCTCACAGACCCTACCTGATGGATTCTAGCTAGCCTTTTACATAAAACGTTTTCCAGTCCGGCTCTGGAACACCGTGTAAGTAGCATGCTCCCTACTTACAGGGAACTCACCACCTGCACGGTGGCCAGCCTCATCCCCTGAAGTCTAGAAAGCACTTCCTTCTCCTGAGCTGCAGTCTGGCCCTGGGGCCTCCGCCCTCTGGGGCTGTAGACCTGCTGAGTTCTTCTGCCAGGAGGAGCCAGGCAGGGTCTGAAGACAAGCTTTACTCCCTGAGGCAGGCCCCTAGCTCTTGCAGGTTCCTCCTTACTCATACATCCTCAGGGTAATGTTTTCTGGCAATTTCAAAATGGAAAACCCTGTCCCTAATGTCCCTCTGAAGGTGGTGACTTCTCTTCTTGAGAGAGCAACAATGACAACAGTAACAGCTTACCCATGTGCCAGGCGGTGTTCGCTGGCTCATGCCGCTCTATAAAGAGGAAGTGAGAAGTCCCCTGGGAGATGGGCAGACGTGTGGCCATACCCACAGTTGCCCAGACTGGCAGGAGGTGGTGTGGGGATTCCCAATGTGTCCTGAGGCTTGTGCAGGCCTCCCCTCACCCCTGGAGAGCTGCTGGGTGAGGAAGAGCCTCGTGTACCAGAAGCCATCTTGTCCAAAGGATCTGAGCCGCCCAGAGCCAACCTGCTGCTTTCTCCAGGGTGGTCTCCATCGTGGGTGTCCTCTAGGCTCAATGAGAGACCTGGACAGGGATCTCTAGTAGCCTCTCAGCTCTAGGCTGGCCGACGCCATGGCAGTCCGCCCAGGGACTGATCAGAACCATCCCTCCCTCCTCAGTGCATCTGCCCCCACCCAGACCCCACAGCTGGGTGAAGAGATTGTGAATGGGCTGGGCAGGGAGCAGAGAAGCTGGTGGACGGCCAAGCCTGGCGCATTTGGTGTGTGGGACTCTGACTGCCTTCTGAGGGGTGGTTCGCTGTGGGAAACAGAGTCTGGCTTTGGTGGATAGGAAGAGTCAGGAGCAGAATCCAGATGAGACCCAGGGCAGGCTGCACAGATGGAGAAGGAGGACACACTCCAGAAGACCTGGCCATTGACAGCTGTGAGGTGGTGGCAGCATCAAAGGTCTAACTCCTAAGCTTGGGATGGGCATGTGAGGTGGGAGCATGCTGAACAGGCTCATGCCACGTCTCACCTCACGCATGACTCAGGGCTGCGGAGGCTGCTGGGAGCCGATGGGATTGGGCCTGTGGGATCCTGTCAGGGCATAGTAAGTAGACTCTTCTTTTCTGAGGTGCACCAAGACACTTCTAGGGAGGATGCTGAAGAAGCGACTGGGTGGAAGATGTGACCCCAGAGCTTTTCCTCATATAGGGTTCTTCTCATTCTCCAGCAACCCCCTGCCCTTCCTGGGCCAAGAGTCAGCGTGGAACCCCAGGGAGGGGAGGACACAGAGTACCAGAACCAGCATTAGGAATGCAAAGCCAGGTGTGACTTCTTCCCAGAAATCTCAGGCATCAAGAGGCAGAAACCCACTCCCCAGCCCCAGCTGGGCCAGGAAGTGCTACTGCGAGCTGCAGGGATGCATCCGGGCCCAGGTTAACATGCAGGGAGCTGGTTGCTCACCCTTCCTCCACCTGGTAAAGTGATCTGAGTAGCTGAGCAGCTAGGCAGTGTCCTGGAGCCAGCCCTGGACAAGGTTGGATCCCTTGTGACCACAGGCAGGGTGGAGCTCTGTCACATCTCATTTATAAACGGCCCTCTTACATCTCAAGCAGAGTTAAAGACATGAGATCTTCAAGCTTATTTATTTAGGTAGTTTCAGGCCTTACTTATTCAGCATCTATTTACTCTGTATACAATTCAAACAAATTCCATTTGCTGACTTCTTGGCAAATTTCAAAAGGGGTGTGGAGAGTGTACAAGACAAGCCTGTGAACCACAGAGGGGTCGGGGAAGACCTTAGAACTACGGAACGCAGAAATTCAGCCATCTGAAGCCAGTCTGCACAGGGACAACACCTCTCCTTGCCCCTGCAGAGAGCCCTGAGGGCAGACACCATTGCCCTGCAACCCTGCTTGGAGGTCTGGTTGCTCAGGAGAGCAAAGGGAAATCTCTTCAAATTTTCACCCCATAATGGGCCAGGAAAGGTTGGACCCTCAGAAGGGCAAGCGCCATTTATCTGGACAGTTCCCTTAACCACCCTCATCCAGAACGGCCTGTTCTTGGCGGAGCCTGATAAATGGGGCATTACCATTCCTGGCCAGTCCTCCTCTGGGGTTAGTTTTGTCCTTGAAGAACACTTCGTGTTTTGTTGCTCTGTTTTTTTTTGTCAAAATCTGCCTTCTCTCTGCCCTCAGCAGAATCAAGGGGTTCTAGGAGGAGAGCCTAACACCTTTGATTCACTGAGTCTTCCGTTTACTCACCAGGCATCCCCGGCACTGGCTCTGGGACAGACCATGGTGTGAATCAAGCTCGGTAGCATCTCAGGAGCTTCCTCAGGGAAGACAAACTCCTGGAGTCAGGGAACCTGGATCTCGAAAGGTTGCAGCAGTAAAGCCAGATGTACCTTCCAGGAAGGAGTAGTAGCATCTCAAAGGCATGGAGGGGTGGGAAATGGTGTGTAGAGTGTAGGTGTGGTAAGGTAGGGAGATTGGATTGATACCTGGCAAGAGCCCCGATTTTGAGTTGTGTGTTGAAGCCTTGGGTAGACTCTGTTAGTGGTCTGCACAGCCTTCAGGCCACCAGTGTGCAGTGGGGTGATTTTAGGGATGTTAATACTAAGCCCTGGAGAGCCCTGTTTCACTGATTCCCTGCAGCACTGAGAAGTAGCTACTGCTAATGTCTGCACTTTAGAAATAGGGCCATGGAAACTCAGAGATGAAATAACTTGCTCATGGTCACACTGGAAATAAGGGGCGGAGTTAGGACCTGAATTTAGTTGTGTCCAGATTCAGAGTTCAGGTTTCTATTCACCGTCCTGCATGGCATCCTTGGAACAGACAAGTAGATCTAGGATTTGCCTCTGCTGCCTATCAACTATCCTAGCCCCTTGGAGCCTGGCCTCCATCAGGTGCCTCCAGACTTGGAACAGGTTGTGACAGGGCAGGGACAAAGACAGCTAGAGGCTGAGGACCCATGGCAATGGGAAGGAAGGCACCAGGAGGCAGTCCCAGCATATTGGGTGGGCATTTCTGGGACTGCAAGCCCTGATTTGGCAAGTATGCCCGCACACACCTTCCTCTTCTGTTAGACCTCAGTGGGTTGGAAGGGGTAGGGAGAACCAACAGCAGTGATGATGGAGTTTGCAGAGGCTACATAGCACTGTTTGTGCATGAACTTGTGGCATGCACCTGGGGAGGGGTGTTGGGATGGGTTGGGTTCACATGGAATTGAGTTTGAGCTGTAAGGGGTAGGGGATGAGGGGCATGTGAGTTTGCGACTGGCTAAAGCACGAATATTCAGATTCTGTGAGCACAAGTATGTGTCCATGATGGTATATGTGCACAAGAAGTCGTTCCTGGGAAGCTAGGCTTGCACTTGGCTACACGTGTGGCTGGGTGGGTCTGGCCAGTTCCGTGGCACTGAGAGTGTGGTGAGTGTGCACAGGCAGAACTGGTGCTGCCTGCCTGCCACATCACTGGGAGCTGGCCAGGATGGGGGCAGGGCTAGTGGACAGGCCTGTCCTAGGACAGGTGTCTCCAGTTCCTGGAACTGCTTCCTTGTGTGGAGCCTTTCCCCATACCTCCTAGCTGGGCCCTTTGGGAGAGGGGAGGAGGCCGTGGGTCCTTCAAGGGGGTGCTCGCAGGCCAGACACGAGGAACTGGGCCTGGGGAACAGAAAGCCACAATGTGAGTCTTTCAAGCACAGCTGAAGGGTGACATGCAAGTTTGTCACACCAGGCCCTCAGTGCGCTCACGGAGTCTGTACTTCCTGGATGGTAGAACCTGTCTGTCAAGCCCTGGTTCTTCCCCAGCAAGGGGTTGGGGAGAGGGCCTGGTGACAGAAGCTGGGGTCTTGGGGGCTTTGAGTCATGGTGAGAAGAAAAGGGGCAAGTGGGAATACCTTTTTCCTTCTGCACCTCTCTTTTTTTTTTTTTTTTTTTTTTTGGAGACATAGAGTCTCACTCTGTTGCCCAGGCTGGAGTGCAGTGGGGCGATCTCAGCTCACTGCAGCCTCTGCCTCCCGGGTTCAAGCAATATTCCTGCCTCGGCCTCCTGCATAGCTGGGATTACAGGCACATGCCACCATGCCCAGCTAGTTTTTTTAAGTTATTATTTTTAGTAGAGACAGGGTTTCACCATGTTGGTCAAACTAGTCTCGAACTCCTGCCCTCCAGTGATCTGCCTGCCTTGGCCTCCCAAAGTGCTGGGATTACAGGCTGAGCCACCACACCTGGCCTTGTACTTCTCTATTCTATGCCTGAACTTCCACCACTGGTCACTTGCCATCATCCCAGTAAGTCGTGCTGAGCCTGTGGACCCACAAGGCCCTGGAAACCACGTTAGGAGAAGTGGGACAACCCAGAGATAGAGCCCAACCCCTTGTTTCTCACCTGGAGAAACTGAGGCCCACAAAAATCGAGGGACTTGGCTCAAGAACATGCAGTGAGTCTCTGGCAGAGCCAGGCCCGGGCCCTATCTTAGTGAGGGGTGCAAGGGGAAGGAAAAGGAAGCCCGGGGCTCGCCCACCCAGACTGCATCTGCCCCTGTAGGTGATCGAGGAGTTCTACAATCAGACATGGATCCACCGCTATGGGGAGAGCATCCTGCCCACCACACTCACCACGCTCTGGTCCCTCTCGGTGGCCATCTTCTCCGTTGGGGGCATGATTGGCTCCTTCTCTGTGGGCCTTTTCGTTAACCGCTTTGGCCGGTAGGTCCTGGCACTGTCCTTGAAGGGCCCATGCCCTCCTTGCCCAGGGAGTCACAGATGGGGTGGGGAGGTGGGGAAGATTTCCCTGCCTGTTCCAGGGTATTACCTGTGATGCAGCCGTGGGGAGCCAAGGGATGTGGGCATCGGCCTGACCTGTGACCCCACCCCCAGGCGGAATTCAATGCTGATGATGAATCTGCTGGCCTTCGTGTCTGCCGTGCTCATGGGCTTCTCGAAACTGGGCAAGTCCTTTGAGATGCTGATCCTGGGCCGCTTCATCATCGGCGTGTACTGCGGCCTGACCACAGGCTTCGTGCCCATGTATGTGGGTGAAGTGTCACCCACAGCCCTTCGTGGGGCACTGGGCACCCTGCACCAGCTGGGCATCGTTGTCGGCATTCTCATCGCCCAGGTAAGCTGGGGTAGGATCTACCTGCCTGGCACAGCCCCACCTTCCCTCACAGCTTCAGTAGCTCTTGGGTCTGTGCCAGCAGGGCAGAGTTTCTCTTCCACCAGCTCCCACAGCCCTGCAAAGGACCACTGTGGTACACAGGTCCAGAGAACACAGCACCATTGCCTCCCAGTGGAAAAGCAAGATGACTTGACCTTTCTCATCCCTTCTTCTCACTCTGGGCCTGCAACCACAGGGCCCGCCTTCCCCCAACATGCCTCAGGCCGTTATGCACGCTGTAACCTCCTTCCAGGAGACTTCCCCTTCCCTGTCCCCAGAACACTCCTGTGGCAGAGTAGCAGCCCCCATTCTCTGTGCTGGACACATCTGTGGCCTTGTCATTTGTCCTCCCAGCAACGCTATGGGGTAGGTCCTACTTTCCCCACGTGACCCGTGAGGAAACCAAGGTTGAGAGAGGTCGAGCCTCATGTTAGTGGCAGAGCCACCAGAACTGGGGCCCTTCCCTGAAGCAGCAGCTGACACAAAGCAAGGAAGGCCACTCTGGCAGGACAGGCTGGGAAGAGGCGTCAGGGCAGAGGCGCTCACGGCCCCTGCTTCCCCCAGGTGTTCGGCCTGGACTCCATCATGGGCAATGAGGACCTGTGGCCCCTGCTGCTGAGCATCATCTTCGTCCCAGCCCTGCTGCAGTGCATCGTGCTGCCCTTCTGCCCCGAGAGCCCCCGCTTCCTGCTCATCAACCGCAACGAGGAGAACCGGGCCAAGAGTGGTATGGGCAGAGCCCTGCCTTCCTCCCCACTCCCTAAGCCCTGGCCTTCTTCCCACTCTGAGCCACCCCACCTTCCCTCTGGTCCCCCCAGTGCTGAAGAAGCTGCGCGGGACGGCTGACGTGACCCATGACCTGCAGGAGATGAAGGAGGAGAGTCGGCAGATGATGCGGGAGAAGAAGGTCACCATCCTGGAACTGTTCCGCTCAGCCGCCTACCGCCAGCCCATCCTCATCGCCGTGGTGCTGCAGCTGTCCCAGCAGCTGTCAGGCATCAATGCTGTGAGTGCCCCCACCCACCCTTCCTGTGCCCCAGCCAAGCCCTTGTGCACAGTGAACAAGTCCCAAACTTAAAACAATGGATATGCCTCTGCTGAAGGGGAAGCTTCCCTTTAGAACCCAAGCCCATAAGGTCACTGCAGTGCAGTGTCCCTCTGCCTGAGTATTTGTCCCCTTCATTCTTTACTCATCCTGGGTCCTACATCCACCGCTGCAGAGGCAGCGAAGGCTCACATGTCCAGGGAGGCCCCAACAGTTTCTCTTGTCTGGCAGGTCTTCTATTACTCCACGAGCATCTTCGAGAAGGCAGGGGTGCAGCAGCCTGTGTACGCCACCATCGGCTCCGGCATCGTCAACACGGCCTTCACCGTCGTGTCGGTGAGTCTTGGCCTACTGTCGTCAGCAGCCAGGGCCCACGCTCAGGACTCATGTCAGAATGGCAGCGTTTACTGAACGCCAGGCATGTGTCACATGCTCCATGAAATGCCACCTCATTTTATTCCCAACTACCTGTGGGGTTCATTTGCTCACACTACATAGCTGATGCGGAGGCTCAGAGAAGAGAAATGACAAACAGCTCACCCAAGGTCACAGCCAGGGTGCCCAGTTGTCTGGCTCTCTAGGGCTGCCTCTCACCCCCTGTACTGCTGTTGGGCTCTGGGGCCAGCTCTCTGCCCCTCATTCCCATCTGGCCCCCCAGCCAAGCCCAGGGAAGAGGCGGTACCATCTTCCCCGCTGGTCTTTGCAGTGCCCTGTGGCTTTCCTGGCTGTTGAGGCAAGCCTCTGGGTGGGTGGGTTCAGAGGGGCCCCAGGCAGGGGTGTCACTGATACTGTCTGTGCCCACAGCTATTTGTGGTGGAGCGAGCAGGCCGGCGGACCCTGCACCTCATAGGCCTGGCTGGCATGGCGGGTTGTGCTATACTCATGACCATTGCGCTGGCATTGCTGGTGAGTTGCCAGGTTCTGGAGGGTGAGGGTTGGGGGAGAGTTCACCTGGGCTTCAGATCCCAAAATGCCTGTCTCAGCCCCAGCCTGGCAGGCCAGGTGCTGGCTGCATTCTCCCCGGCTCTGTATCCCGGGGCTTGGGTCCGACCTTCTGGCTCCTGAAGTTGTCTCCTTCCAAACCACAAACTTTCACCTCCTTAAGGAATTGCCTTGCCTAATATTAACCCTTTCCAGTCATCATCTGTAGCCTCAATTCATCTTCACAGAACCCCGGGCATTAGTGCTGTCCTCTCCACAGAGGTGCAGAAACATGCCTTGCCTCACTCAGTTCACACGACTGGAGGTAGGGTTCAGTTATTCCCATTTTACGGGGGAGGAAGCCTAGGTCCCAGTGAGGTTAGTAACTTGTCAGATAAAGGATGAAGCCAGGAATCAACCTTGGTCCCAAGCCTGTGACTGTGACCGCTGCGCTAACCCTGTGCCTGGCACTCACACACAGGCACTCGTTTATTCAGCCTCTGGGCAAGGAAAACACCATGACTGTCATTTTATGGCTCAGCCTGGTCTTGGACAGTTTGGTGGTTGTCGAAAGGTCAGACATGCAGCCAAGTAGAAAGTGGCAGATCTGAGATCCGAACTGAAGCCCATAACTTTTCTACTCTGGCCGCCTCAAGAAGGGTTATATGCAGAACCATATGCTTAGTGCTTACTCTGTGCCAGCCTGAGCTGGGTGCCTCACAAGCCTTAGAACCTGAGTCCACCTCACCCCCAGGAATGTTGTTCTGTATCCTGCCACAGGTGGACTGCGCTGCAGGCATGACCAGGGGACCACGGGGCCTCTTAGCACTGTCCACATGCACACCACATTACCACTCCCGGGGATGGACTCACACTTGCCACCACCCTGCAGGACTTAAATCATTTTGTTCAGATGAGGAAGCTGAGGCCCAATGCTGGATACCTGGGGCACACAACAGATCCAGGATCAGCCCCAGGCCTCCTGCCTTCCAGCATTGCCCTACTCTGGGCTGCCTCTGCAGCTTCTGTTTCCCCTGAGGAGTCATCACAGCCCAGTCTAACTTTTCCCCTTCTCCATCATCCTCAACAGGAGCAGCTGCCCTGGATGTCCTATCTGAGCATTGTGGCCATCTTTGGCTTCGTGGCCTTCTTTGAAGTGGGTCCCGGCCCCATCCCATGGTTCATCGTGGCTGAACTCTTCAGCCAGGGTCCACGTCCAGCTGCCATTGCTGTTGCAGGCTTCTCCAACTGGACCTCAAATTTCATAGTGGGCATGTGCTTCCAGTACGTGGAGGTGAGAACCCCCACTGTCTCTATCCTCACTATGTCTCACCTGCACACATGACCCCACAGTGCTGTGCAAAGTCCTTTCCCAGCATTCTCATTAGTAATCACGCTGAGGACGAACTGCGAGTAGGAAGCCCAGGTTACATGACTAAGAATGCTGACCTCAACTCCAGGGTTCTCCCCTCAGCTTTGAATGGTGCTCCTGGAGCCTATTACATGCTAGGTGCAAGCATGATCTCATTTAATAATGATAGCATCCCTGGGTAGGTGGATGTTCCCCTTTTCAGCTTAAAGGCCCAAAGGTAAAGTGACTTATCCAAAGTCCTACAGCCAGGATGTAAGGTCATGACTCCAACCAAGTGTGTCTGTGTGTCTTTCAGCAACTGTGTGGTCCCTACGTCTTCATCATCTTCACTGTGCTCCTGGTTCTGTTCTTCATCTTCACCTACTTCAAAGTTCCTGAGACTAAAGGCCGGACCTTCGATGAGATTGCTTCCGGCTTCCGGCAGGGGGGAAACAGCCAAAGTGACAAGACACCCGAAGAGCTGTTCCATCCTCTGGGGGCTGATTCCCAAGTGTAAGGCGCCCCAAACCACCAGCCCGGCCTCTTCCCAGCAGCCCTAAGGATCTCTCGGGAGCACAGGCAGCTGGATGAGACTTCCAAACTGACAGATCTCAGCCGAGCCGGGCCTGGGGCTCCTTTCTCCAGCCACCAATGATGTCCAGAAGAATATTCAGGACTTAACGGCTCCAGGATTTTAACAAAAGCAAGACTGTTGCTCAAATCTATTCAGACAAGCAACAGGTTTTATAATTTTTTTATTACTGATTTTGTTATTTTTATATCAGCCTGAGTCTCTGTACCCACATCCCAGGCTTCGCCCTGAATGGCTCTGTGCCTGAGGGTGAGGACTAAGCCCTGTCCAGACACTTGCCTTCTTCACCAAGCTAATCTGTAGGGCTGGACCGATGTCCTAAGGACACACTAATCGAACTATGAACTACTAGGCTTCTATCCCAGGAGGTGGCTATGGCCACCCCTTCTGCTGGCCTGGACCTCCCCACCCTAAGGGTCAGGCTTCATTAGGATTTGCCCATTCCCATCTCTTCCTGCCCAACCACTCAAATTAATCTTAACTTACCTGAGACCAGTTGGGAGCACTGGAGTGCAGGGAGGAGAAGGGAAGGGCCAGTCTGGGCTGCCAGGTTCTAGTCTCCTTTGCACTGAGGGCTACACTATCACCATGAGAAGAGGGCCTATGGGAGCCTGCGAACTCACTGCTCAAGAAGACACAGAGACTCCTGCCCTGCTGTGTATAGATGCAAGATATTTATATATATTTTTTGGTTGTCAATATTAAATACAGACACTAAGTTATAGTATATCTGGACAAGCCAACTTGTAAATACACCACCGCACTCCTGTTACTTACCTAAACAGATATAAATGGCTGGTTTTTAGAAACATGGTTTTGAAATGCTTGTGGACTGAGGAGGGTAGGGAGGCTTGGATGGGAGTGAGACAGAAGTAAGTGGGGTTGCAACCACTGCAGTGGCTTAGGCTTTAACTTGGGATCCAGTCCCTTACGCCTACCTCTCATCAGTGCCTTCTACTGCTCAACCATCTGTTTGACCCGTTACCCAGAGAATATATACATTCTTTATCTTGACATTCAAGGCATTTCTTTCACATAATATTTGATAGTTGGTGTTCAAAAAAATGGTAGCTTTGTGCCAACTGTGATGCTCAGGCTTGAAATGCATTATTTTGAATCTGAAGTAAATACTGTACCTTTAATTGACAGGCTCAAAGAGATTACGTGCCTGAAGCTGCACAATGAATAAGCTAAATCCCCTGATTTTAACAGTGGTACTATACAACCCCTACTCCATTAACTCCACCCACCTCCGGCACCCCCCCACCCCACACACACACAAAATGAACAATAGTCTTTGTATGGGCCCAGTGAGCTGTCAAGCTGTCTTGTGTTCATATCATTTGGAATTGCCCCTTCTGGTTCCTCTTTGTATGCTACTGTTTCCTCTCTAAAGACGGCTGATTCTCCTCCTTCACCCCTGAATTTCCAGAGCACTTCATCTGTTCCTTCATCACAAGTCCAGTTTTCTGCCACTAGTCTGAATTTCATGAGAAGATGCCGATTGGTTCCTCTGGGTCCTCAGCACTATTCAGTACAGTGTTTAATGCGCAGCAGGCACTCAGAAAAACACTTAAGGTAATAAAACACCAAGGATATTTATCTCTAGAGGCTCAGCTGACAAAGTCTGGGAGAAACTTGTTTTTGTAACTACAGGCAGGCTTTTGTCTTCCTGACATGAAGAGGTGTGAGAAGAGAGTGTGAGAGGTGTAAGAAGGGTGTGAGAAGGGAAACGTACTTAGCAAATGGAAAGACCTATGTGTATTACCTTTGAATATAATCTATGAGGACACCCATCTCCATCTCACAAAGGAGAGCAGGCTGAGAAGGATGTGCTGTGCCTGAGCCTGGGGACCGGGCAGTTAATTGGTGAAGGGTTGGGCCAGGTGACTGGAAGCCTTATCTTGTGCTCCTAAAAGACTTCTGTTGAAAGGGTTATGGGAGTCCTCCCGGGGGTAGGGGGAAGCGGGGGCGCGGCGAGGAGAGGCCGGGACTCAGGCTGTCAGGGCTGCCACTCGGGGGACCTTACTGATACGACGCTCTTAACTCAGAGGCAATCCCCACTGGACCGGAAAGGAAACAGACGCGGTGGGGTGGTGATGGGTGGCCGGACCTGAGGACCGCCAGGCGGACGGCGCACGGAGCTCATTGGCACCTGAGGGCCCCAAAGGCCGGCAGAGCTAGGCAGCACCCAGCCCTACCCCGGCCTGTGGTGTCCAGACCCGAGTCTGAACAGGCCCGGCAAACTACTCGCAGCTCCCTCCCGCCCTGGGTCAGCATACACGTCCCCGAGCACCGCCATTTCCCCAAATGCAAAATGCCACGCAGGCGCAGGGAGTCCGGTCCGCCCTCAGCTTGGCCCAGAGTGCCGCGGCAGCACGGCTGCCAGTCGGTCCCCAGACGCCTCTCCTCTAGAGGCCGCAATCCACCCAGGGTAGAAGACTTGGGGCCAAGGTTCGGCCGCCTACCGCCCGGGTCGATGTAGCATCCTCCCCAGACCTCACAGTGGTGCCCTCTAAGCCCGGCCACCGGCGGCGCACAGACTTGTGTAGGGAGGGGCGGAGCCAGGTGGCATCTCCACCAATCAGAGGCGCACTGTTGGGCCCGACGAAGAACGGGCTCCGAAGCTCCACCAATCACAGCCTGGCGGCTCCAAGCGCTGGCTCCTGGGACTGCCTGGACGCCCGCTTGCCGGGCGTTGTCGTTTACTCTGGAGGGGGTGACGGTGGCTTGTGTATTGCTGGGCATCCCTGGGGACGTAGCTCACCCGGTTTCCTTTCCCGCATAAGGTGACGTCTATGTTTCTGAGGAAAAGGGATAAATAGGTAACGAGGCTGTTCTCTAGGCCACCATCTTTCCCCAGCAGTGCTTAGTTGTTTCAGTGACAGTGTCATGAGATCTTTTATTTGAAATCTTAGGCGCAAAATCTCCTCTCCCTGGAAACCTTCTGGATCAAGTTTTCCCGGTGACTCTACAGCGTCTTGTAGTTCCTCCATCAAAGCACTCTCCACGCTGTACCGGAATTGATGACTGTCCTTCCACCACACCGTCTGGCGGAGCGGGGTGGGAGGGCGGCTGCGGCAGGAACAGGACTGAGTCATGCCTTGGTCCCCACTTCCCACCACAGACTCTAGTCAGGGTTACTGAGTGAATGAACTAGAACTCAGAAGCCAAAAAGTTCTAAAATCTGAGTTCTTCCAGTGCAATTTTAAGTAGATGATCGACAATTCAGGATGTATTTAATAATAGGGAAAGGATATTCATTCTCTTCTGTCAACTACTTTTTTAGTGACTCCTTTTTCATTCTGTGATTTTTGTTTATTGAGTCTCCTACAATTCTGGCCAGTCTATCCATTGCAATTGTTGGCCCTAGTGCTGGCCACTCATCTCCTCTCCCAGGATCACCACAACTGCCTTCTCACTGATCTCTCTGCTTCCTGCTTCTTCCTCATTCTCCACACTGCAGTTGATGGTCTTTCTAAAATTCAAATCTAGTTATGTCTCTCTCCTACTTAAAAACCTTCCTGAGTTCCTCATTTCTCTCAGGATGTCTGTGTTTCTTAACCTGAAAATTCAAGTCATTCATGATCAAGCACTCTCCCTCACCACTGCCCCTACTCACCCCAACCCTATCCTCCAGCCAGCCATCCACTCTGATCTCTGATCTCCACATTCGCCTTCCCCTCTGGGCCTTTGAAGTTTGCTCCGCAGAGATTGCCCTCCCACCTACTCCTGTTATCCACCAGGTGATCATACCCCACCAGAGCTCAAGGTGCGAGAGAAGGGAAGCTACTGGTTGGGAGTCTGGCTCTTCTGTTCATTGGCACACTCCTACCAACTAGGGCTGTTTTGTGAACATTTTGATCAGGGCAGGGTTTAACCTCACCCTTTCAGGGTGTCAGAGATAGTAAATTGCTTTGGAAGGAACACTTGACTGGTCCTACTACAACAAATCCATCTGGTAACCCTGACCCTGGCATCCCAAATGATCTTCCTAAAAATGTGTTCTGACCACATTGTTCTTTGGGTTAATACTCCCCACTTTCTCATGGTAAAGCTCAAATTCCTTAGCCACATTCTGGCCTTTGCAGACCTTATCTCCCAATAGATTTATTCCACACCCTAATCTCCAGTGAAGCTGATGTACTCCATGTTCCCAGGACAGCTCCTCACCCTAAAACTTTTTGTTCAAGCTCCTTTCTCCTGGTCTGCCTTTGGTCTCTCCATAAGATTATCAGAATACTAAATTAGCTGTTACTTTCTCTACGAAGCATTTCCTTAATTCTTTGAACTGTTACCTATCTGAGCACACACTTGTTGCCAAGTTTTCTCCTCAGTTATACTGGCTCTTGGAAAGAATATAGTTTCTGGAGTCAGAAAGAGCTGATTTAGATTCCTGCTCTGCTATTTAGCTGAATAATCTTGGGCAAGTCACTTCACCTTTCAGATCCTCTGTTTCTTTGTCTGTTGTAATATTAAAATGAAAATATACTGTAATGCAGATGTCAGCTGGAGTCACACCATCTTCCCCCTTCCAAAAGTTTTAGAAAGTCTGGTAATCACCCCCAAGGTTTTGGTGAATTTCCAGGGATCTCTTCAATTCTTAAGGTCATCTCTGGCTCTGATGGTCAACATCCCCTAAACCATCAGGTGCAAATTTTCTACCACAAGCTGTTTCCTGTCATAGAACTCACATCTTCTTTAGTTTCACTTCATTCATTTACTGAGCACCTCCTGGATGCCAGGATGCGGCAGTAAGAAAACAAAAATTTGCCTTCATGGAGCTTACATCCTGTTGAGGATAATCCAATAAGCAATCGACAATGTATGATAAACTCAGATGATTATTATGTGTCTCACGGTTGGCTTTGGATCATATATCATATTCCATAAGTCCCAGAGGCTTTCTTAACTTTTCTTCATCTTTTTGCTTTTGTTTCCCCCAATAATTTCAATAATTTCAAATAAACTTTCTCAAATTTCCTGATTATTTATTCTCCTCAATTAAATCTGTTATGATCCCTCTTAGTGAATTGTTCAATTCAGTTATTGTTTTTTTCAACTCCAGAATTTCCTTTTTTTAAAAATAGATTCTATCTTTCTTTCATTTTTTTCTTTCTTTGTTTTTAGAGACAGGGTCTCACTATGTTGCCCAGGCTGGTCTCAAACACCTGGGCTCAAGCAGTCCTCCTGCCTCAGCCTCCCAAAGTGCTAGAATTTCAGGCATGAGCCACTGCACCCAGTCTCTGTGTCTTTGTTGATATTCTGATTTTTATGCATCACTTCCTGGTTTCATTTGTCTATCTGATTCTCTTGTAGCCCACTGAGCCTCTTTAAGATGATTACTTTGAATTCATTGTCAGGTAATTCATAGATCTCTGTTTCTTTGGGGTTCCATTTCTGAGACATATTTGGTCCTCTGATTGGGCCATGTTTCCCACTATCATCATATGATCATATCTTCCAGTTTTTATGGATTGTCTTCATAAAGTGGGAAACCTTTAACATTCAGCCCACATAACAGTCTAGGGGAGTTATCTCTCAAACCTTTTCTGGAGATATGTATTCTTGGGCTTGTACATGTAATTTCCCAATTCAAGATGTTTGTTGCTCTTCTCAGAAGCTTGTAGTCTCTTGCTCTCTCTGGTGTTTGTCTACAGTACTGCAAGTTCTCAGGATCTGCAACAAGCTGTTGATTTCTCTTCTCAGCAGTCCCCAGGGATTCAAAGTATTTTTACTGTATCAGCACTCAGTGTCAGGCAAGACAGAAACCAGTCCTCAGGAGCCCCATGAAAAGTTCGAATGTTGAACACACATTCTACTCGTCTGCTTCCTTCTCAAGGGAGAAGCCTCAAGTTGGGCATTTACTCATGAAAACACCAAGCTGTAATGGCTTGGAGAAAGGGCTATTGTAGGTGAAATGAAAATGGTTTTTCTTACCCATTTTAAGATAGCTGTTCTTGACTCTGAGCTTGCCTTGGATACTAGTTTCTAGAGTTCTCATAAAAGGTTTT